GGTGGGGGAAGTGTCCGGTTAAATGAGCCAAATTTTACACGCTTTTACATTAAGTTCTCTTTTCGGATCATATAAAATTTGTATGTATATAGTCCCGAATAAAAATTGTTTCTATAAAACAATAAACCTAAAAAATAAAATAATATTTAAACCTAAATATCTCTGAAAGCAAAATAGATAACCCACACATGCAAGCGTATATTTGTAGACCTTCTCAAGGAGTAGTAATATTTTACTCATTCAGATCATAAATGGACTTTTGGCGATTTTTTTAAAAAGTTTAATAACCGAGGTGATCAACTTTGATGGGCTACCCACTAGCCCCCATTCCGCCCTCAATCCCCCACAACTGTCAATCAACTCGGAAACACCTCAGCTCAAAAACAAACAACGAATTATTTCCAAAAATAAAAGTTTCTAAACCACTGTGCAATCGTTTGTATGCAACATTAGAACAGGAATATAAGGTTTTGCTACGGAATTTTAGATAGCTAACTGAAAATTAGCACATAGCTTCTCCTTAGCATCATTAGTAAGGGATTAAAAGCGAGATATTGGTGGTCAAAGGTTACAAAAATCAGTTTTTAGCGAATATTTCTCTGATTATACGTTGTACGCATAATAATTTCTATAGAGAATTGAATTTCCTACATATTGGTTGAGGAATATTTTCTCATAACATTAGTTGTTTTCGAGCTATAGTCCATTATTTTTTCATTGCAATAACCTTTTCAAATCTTAATATTTTTTACCCAAATAAAGATAATGTCGGATTTTATCTTTCTAATATTAGCTAAAAGTACATAATTAATTTCTGTTTCATCCCTTATCACAGCATCACTCTCTGGCCCATAGTGCAATGTTCGTCTATCCGAATTTCCGATGGTGCCACAATTATGAATATAATTTGAAAAAAATTAGACGACATTAGAAGTCAGGAAAATATTTCCACTAAATTTCATTGACTACTACTTCAACTAGCTCTAATATAGACAACCGAATTTAATTTGTTTTCAATATTAACGTAAATCAAAAAATTTTACAAAAGTATTTAAAGATAAAGTCAGATTTTAATAAAATTTGGTTGGAATATTATACTAATATGTGGATTGTGACCAGTGTTGCCAAAATCTAATTGCGAAAAAGTGCTAGATTGTTTTGAAAAAAATGCTAGAAAGTGCTAAAAATAAAGACAAAATGCTAGAAAAAGTGCTAACAAAAAAAAAAAAAAAAAAAAAGGTTTTTTATTGTAAAATATTTGAATTTTTAAAATAAAATACATAAATAATATTTTTAGCTTAGTACGCAAATGGACCAACTCCACTTATTATGGGTCGATTTTAATACAGAACAAAATGTTTATAATAACTGGTTTTAGAGTTTTTCGATTCTTACTTTATACCAGAAAGAGGATTTCTATATGGGTCCCCTAGAATTTTTCTAAAATAGCTTTATTTTTTGGTATTTTTTAACTGCATATGTAATGTTTTTACCTTAATACGCAAACGTACCAAATCCACTTATTATGGGATGATTTTAATATGGAATTAGAAATGTTTATTTAATAAATTTTTTTTTAATTTTTTAGATCGGAAATAAACAACCAGATTCTGGAACTGCGACATTGCAACTATTATTTTCGATGCCATTTATTCTCGAAACAGTTCTGTCGAAAAATGTTGTGATTAAAAAGTTCCGATGAAATCATTTCTTTCAATGTTAAAAAAGTTTAAAAAGTGCTAAATCTAGCACTAAAAGTGCTAAATTGGCAACCACCAATTGTGACCACCAATTTTTTTCTAACTCTAATCATTAATATGACCTGTGATACTATCTGAAATTATGAATAGACAGACATTGCACTGTGGGTCATAGAGCGAGTTGGAGATAAAACGTATAACAGTGTATAAGCATATGAATAACGTAAAAATTATGACAAATTTGTATTGTGCTACAGAACCGCCATTTTTGCACTGAAATTAGTTGTTCTTTGACCTTCTATTAGCGTAAACAGAGTATTTTCAGATAATGATGACCAAAACTAAACTTCAGTCTCCAAAGATAGTTTTTTTCTTGAAATAAAATAAATCCAAAATAAATCTAGCGATAAAAAAACCCCTATCATTAATGTTAATAATAATATTAATTATTATTATTTAAGTCAATTGAATTGTATTCTATAACACTACAATTTCACTTCCAAATAACTTCCAAAAGAAGTAGTGAATTTGGTATCAAATAAAAAGAACATCCCTCCTATGACAAGCCTGTGTCACTCATTCAGGTCTTTTTTAGTATTTCCATGGAGTTATTTCTACTCCTTTTTCGCTTCTTTGTAAATTCTTTTTTTGCTAGGATAGCTCGAAAACAACTAATGATACGGAAAAATATTCTTTAACCCAAATGTAGGAAATTATAATAACATTAAAATACGTACGACTAGTGTTGTCATATATGAAGATTTATCTTCATTTTGAATTTTTTTGAGGTGGTGTGAAGATTATAAGATTTTAATACCAAAAAAGAAGATTTTTTTTATAAAGTTAAAATTTTAATGTTTTTTAATCCAATCCAGGAATGATTTTTTTTTTTTCAAAAATATTGTTTAGATTTAAAATCGAATACATTTAGAGTTATCGCATTCTAAAATAAATTGCAGTATCTCTGTTTATTAACTAACTAAAAAAATATATGTTGATCGTCCAAAGACAAACCTATGCAAAGGGAGTCAGAAGGCTGAAATAAAAAATTCAAAATTTAACACATAAAATATTTTGATTGAATATAAAATTATACGCAAGAGAGTCCAACAAGGAGTCAAAGACAACAATTGCTATCTCGTTATCTATAATTGTTTAAACATTTGGTTAAATGTTTATATTTATCACTAATGTATTCCTTCCGAATGATAAAACCAGAGTGAAGGAAATCGTGTCAATTTACTTTACTGTTCCTAAGTAATATTTGCAAATCTGAAGAGCATGGAAACACGAATCGTGTCTGTTCTGTAAACCGAATCCGATTACATTTCTCGTTTAAAAACGAATTCGCATAATTTTTCTCGTTTTATAAACGTGCACAGAAAACACTTAATTTAGAATTCACCAAACCAAATGTAAAATTGTTTCAAATCGGACGTATCACGAAAATTTTATATTTAATAAACAGATTCGTACAGAATTAATTGAAAAACAAATAATTATTGTCAATTAAGAAAATATGCTATTAGCTAAAAAATTTATTAAAAATTCACTACAAACAATTTTTTTACCACAACAAACAAATTTTGTTAAATTTAAAATTAATTATCAAACAATTTTTTTGCTAGAATCGGCAAAAATCTTTATTTCTGTCAAAATCAAAATAATCAAAATAAATTATTTTTTTTTGCGTTTTTTAATACAATTGTAACTTAATATGAATGTATAAAAGCTATGGGCATTTTAAACTCTTTTTTATTTAAAATATGTTTATTTTTCTGAATTTTATATTCAAATAAAAATTATATTTGCAGAACACCTAATTCGGTTTTAAAAGTTTCTCGGTTTTGAAACCGATTCAATTTACGAAACATACATGATTATATAACTATTTACAGTTAGGATTTAATCAAAATATATATTAAGTTTTAAAATTCAAATTTGTTTAAAATGAAGTTTTTTAGCGAAAAAAGATTTATTTGTTTAATTTGAAGATTTTTGTAGAAATTTTTCCACAGACATTCAAACATACATATTTTTTCCAATAAGCAGTGTTGTTGTTGCTTATTTATCAAACCATGCAAAAAATTGTCTTCTTTTGATGAAATTTTCAGAGGTTGTCTCGGATTTTTGCTTATATCTCTGCTATTTATGGACGGATTTTGCTCATTTTAACAGACAGACGGACATGGCTTAATCGACTCTGCTATCTATAAAGATTCAGAATATATTGTGAAAATTACAAACGGAATAACAAACTTATATGTATATACCCTTCTCACGAAGGTAAAGGGTATAAAAATAATACGAAATTGTATTTAAATGGCCGCTATATTCTTAAAATTTCGTCTAGGCGGGAATTCCCGGGATTCCGCGAAATTTTAAAATGAATTTCGTTTTCCCGGGAAATGAAAAAGTTTGGGAAAAGAAAAAACTAGTACAAACGAATGTCTACCACTGTATATAAAATAAAAAAAATATGTAATTCCGAAAGATCCCCGGATTCCAAAAAATACTGGTATCAAAATCCTGAATTCCAGGATTTGTAAAAGTCTCGATTTGGCATCAGTATTACCCCACAGAAAATTTTCAGAGTACTCGGAATTGTAACGAATGTTGTGTGCTTTACTTTGTGTTACTTATAATTTGATTTACTTGCATATAAAATCTGGATATGAAGTTTAAATTTTTAATAATTTTTTTTGCATTACATCTTAATATACTTGTGATTAACATTGTATATGAGAACAGAAAATTAAAATATAAAAAAATCAAGTGTGCTGTAATTTAATCAACAAAAAATTTTTCATTTATCGAAAAATATTTTTTGGATCAACATTTTTTCAAAAAACATACATATTTAGATACTTCTTAATACACATATATTTTAACTAGAAAATTGTTGTAGATACTTGTGTTCCAGATAGGAAGGTGCTGTAGAAACAATTTTACTTACTAGGTATATCTTACTTACTAGGTATTTCCACACACAAATATATTATAAAAAAGTATAATCTACACATAATATCGCAAACCAAGTATATCAGTTAGTGTGTCATTTTCAAGCGACCATACCCTGTGTAAAGTAAGCCAGAGCGTGTGTAAGTTTGTAAGCACTTTCGAATACAAAATAAGCAACACAATATCAATGTAGTAAGCTATAAATTTTCTGTTGGGTATATACCCTTCTCACCTTTGTGAGAAGGGAACCTGCAATATTATGTGTAGGGTGTAATAAAATTATTCAGTTCAAAAAATATATTTGTTTTATTTGTAAACTGGTATTTTATTTCTTTTTAGGTCTGACACATTCTGGAAACTCATTAAATATCCAAATATTTGCAGCAATTGTACTATCATTATTATGTCAAACAAGAAGAGACCAGACAGATTTATTAAACGCGTGCGCTATACCAAATTTAGTTCGTCTTATTAACATTAAAAACGTACATTTGCAGGTTCCAGTACTTCAATGTCTTTGTTGCATGGCATTTGAAAATAGATCTGTTTCAGATATTATTTGTGTAACTAGGTAAGTGTATGCAGTGTTGGAAAAAACTAAGCTTGCGCTTTTACTTATTAACAAATCCCAAGAAAAGTAAACATAATGTGTATTAAATATTCCAAGTAAATACTAATTTATTTTAGGAAGAATTTATACTAGAAATTAAAATTGCATATAATGGAAAAAAAACTATCGTTAATAATTGCAATTACTTACAAAGTGATACACAAAAAAAATGCAGGGGTTCTCATATACCAATTTCATTTCGTTATAGTCAGCGTTGTCAATTTAGCTCTTTTAGTGCTAGATTTAGTACTTTTAGTGCTAGTGCTACATAGATTACCCAAAAAATCTATTACCAACAATAATAGATACTAAAGAGAAATTCGCTTCACAGGACCAGAATATATTAAAAAAACTAAAAAAATACATACATACGTTTTTAAGAATTTTCCAAATTCGCTTCACAGGACCAGAATATATTAAAAAAACTAAAAAAATACATACATACGTTTTTAAGAATTTTCCAAATTTTTCGGAATTCTAATATTTTTTTTTTCTTTACAAAGGATTTGTGTCTTCTTTAGAATTTTGAAACTCAATTTCAAAAATATTCACAACCAAAAATTTATGTGTTGCGCATCAACACACTCGTTTAATGGAACGGTTCTGGAAGTAGTTCTTTAATCAATGATTTTTCGACTTTGCTATCCTCAGAATAATAATACTTTTTTATTTTATCATTTTTATCATTATGGGTATCAAATGACAGAGGACAATCTCCGAAAATCAAATTAATTTTTTGTTTTTATTTTTCAGGACGAAATATTTTAAATAAAAATTGCATCCTCTCATATCCTTGAGAATTTCTATTATTTTTTTCTTAAATAAATATATGTTGAAACCTTATGTATTATTTACCACATATTTAAAATTGGTTTCTATAGCTTTATTAGTTAATCCGCGCTAGAAAAAATTATATTATTACACTTAAATAAAAAAAATTAACTTCTTGACAAATACGCAAATCAACATGAGAAAATATTGGACATTACTTTTTGGACTTGAGCAAAACCAAATACAACTGAAAGTAGAGTCCTTATATAGAAAAACTGTATACTCAGTTTTAAATTTTCTGATTCCTTTTCCCTTGAAAACTTTAAACTTTTAAGGATATAGTATTTTTTATATTTATTCAAATATTTGTACGGACATGGAAATATCCTTTTAAAATATTATCCTTCCATATAAAGGATAAAATTATTAAATTGATATTTTTTATTTATCAGGACAAACAAAATAAAAATTATTTTTTTCGTCCTGAAAAATAGAAAAAAATGATAAATTCCCATTAAGCGACTATAAAGCCCTTTAGGGAAATTGTATAAGCCTTTTTGAGTAAAAAAGGGCCCATTGAAAAAAAAAAACAATTAAAAAAATATTTTTAAAAAAAAATTATTATTTGAAGAAATAGCTATCTAAACTCCTTCAGACAATTTTTGCTAGGACCATTAGGTGAAAAGTTACAGTCATTTGAAAAACCCTGTATGACCAAAATCTCCAACTTTGACCCCCTCTAACTCCGGCAGTTCTTGATCGATAGAGCTGAAAATTTGTATTTCAGGAATTTGACGGAATAATATATTTAAAGGTCATTATTTACCATTTTTATACATTACACCACTTTAGTGGGGAGGGTATATTGGGTTTGTGCTGATGATTGTAATATTGGTCCTATAGCCACCTTAAAGTATACCAATCGGCTTGGAAACATTTTCTGAGTCTATTTAGCTATGTCCGTCAATCAAACTACAGGTCGCAATTTTTAAGATAATTCAATGAAATTTGGCACATGATCTTCTATTGTCCCAGGGACGAAACCTATTGAAAATGGTTATGATCGGTCCATTATTTCACCTAGCCCCCATACAACTGAACCCGACGAATAGGGATTTTAAGTTCATAATTGTGTTTAATATACTCGTATCTCGACAAAAAGCTGCAAAATCAAGTTCTATACTAGCCATGATGTCTTTCATGAATTTTATAATTATAGTGTCTCATTTGACCATAGCCCCTATACAAATCCCCTTCAAAATTTAAATTTAAATTAAAATTTAAATTAATTAAATGTCCACTATTTTGTTCAACAATAAATGGCTTAAGTATAATTCAAGGCAAGGTATAATTCAACTTAAATGCTTTGTTATGAAAACTAAATCACATTTTATTTTTGTAACAGGTGTAGGGTATTATATGGTCGGCCTCGCCCGACTATAATTTCTTACTTGTTCAACATGAAAATAAAACAATATATTTATTATATTCAGCGATGCTTCCCTTTAAACTGAAGCATATATTGATATAAGAACAGAAACTTTTATTAAATGGTTATACCCTTAACACTTTGATGTCCTTTAAAAAGGAAAAAGGATCTGAAAGTGGAAAACTGAGTACACAGTTTTTCTGTATGGGATCACTGCTATCCAGTAATGTCCAGTATTTTACTAAAATTAATTAGCTTATTTTTGAAGAAATAAATTTTTTAATATTAGAGTAATAATATAATTTTTTCTAGCGGCTAAACTAATAAAGCTATTGGAACAAACATAAAGTATGCAGTGAAGAATACATAAGGTTTCAACATTTTTTTAAGAAAAAAATGTTAGGAATTACAAAGGATATAAAAGGATGAAATTTTCAAAGGACATTATTTAAAATATTTCGTCCTGAAAAATAAAAACAAAAAATAGATTTGAGTTCCGGAGATTGTTCCCTATCATTTGATACCCATATTGATGAAAATTATTCAGTAAATGTATTTTAATAAATTTTAATATCCTTACAACTTTAAAGTCCTTTAAAAAGGACAAAAATTCACAAAATGAAAAACTGAAAAACAGTTTCACTTTAAATGACCTCCAGTATCATGTGTATATGGTTTCGTTCAGGTCCAATATTTGCTGTCACACGATACTTAGGTACACGAGGCTTGTGAATTGGATATTGTTACATACTATATTAATTTATGTAATGAAATGGCTGATTTTACCAATTCTATGAATAGAAATAAAACGGTTTTGAGTATAGGAGTGTATTATGTATTGTCAAATGATGATGTAGATGACTACCAGGTACAAACATACATGTATTATACCAATCTTTATCTCAAAGCAAAAAATTATATAATAACATAGATGAATGTAAGCGTACCTAGAACAAGAACCAAAAGGAAACATGATTCTGTTTCCAAGAAACGCAAAGAAAGCTCAGTAAAGCGAACGAAGCAAAGCAAATATAAATTACAAAAACTTTCAGCAAGACCAGCAAGGACAATGAAAACTACATGCACCTCCAAATAATGTGAAAATAAATAAGATTTTGCAAATTCTTTTGACGAAGAAACCAGAAGAAATATTTCTCAAAAGGAATTATAACACAAATGAACAAAATCTATGTGTACAGGAAACTGTGGACCATTAGTATTAACTCTATGTACTTAGTTTTTCATAATCAGCTCTTACGCCCCTGTAAAAGGACCTTAAAGTTTAAAGGATATACGATTTTAAGAGATGAAATTTCAAATTTGTATAAAAAATTTTGGTATTAACATAAAATGAAGTTAAGAACCTCTGCTTCCAAATAGTATTATTAATTTCAATTCATCAGTTAATGATTAATTTCAAATTTGTATAAAAAATTTTGGTATTAACATAAAATGAAGTTAAGAACCTCTGCTTCCAAATAGTATTATTAATTTCAATTCATCAGTTAATGATTAAGTCGTTATTTATAATACATATGTTTATGTATGTATCCTTTATTTATTTTTATTTGTTGAATAATATGAATCACAAATTAAATTGAATTAAAATGTTTTTATTTATACATATGAGAAACTCTCTATCTGTTTGAAGAAAAAACTCTCTATCTTTTCTAAAAACGCAAATAATTCAAAACTTTTAAAAAATCATACGTAAGACTTGTAATACGTAAGATGTAATTATTAAAAAATAATATAGCAGAAAAAAAAACAAAATGTTCATTAATATACGAAATAAACAGTTGTTTTGCTCTCCTGAAAACTTGTGTATTTTGTGATAGATACTATTGAATATGGTTAGGTTAGGTTGATAGGAGGATGTATACTACATCAAATCCGAAGAAATACACCTAGGCCACTATCGGGCCTGTTGTTCGCTCCGATTCAAGAAAAAAAAAAAATTGTTCACTGAATGTATTATTTTTCCATGTTCAGAAACTCAGTTTCCTGGACGTAATTCCTAAGAATCTTCCAATCGGTGTTGGTTAAGAATGTTATTTCCGGAATAACATCACTTCCAAGATACTTGGATCTAACTTCGACGAATGCCTGACAATGGCAAAGAAAGTGCTCCAGAGTTTCACTGTCCTCTCCACATGCTCTACATTCGTCTGAATTCGCACGTCCAATTTTGTATAGATGTGCTCGTAATCCTGTGTGTCCACTGAGAATACGTACCATCATACTAACCTCAGACTTGCTCATTTTGAGAAGATTTCTCGTCTTGCTCTCATCAGGGTCACCCCATAGAATCTTTGTGGTTCTACCCACCGTTTCATTATTCCAAGAGGCCTTATGGGATTCTCTCATCCATATTTTTAATTCAGCTTTTGTTGCGTCGAATGGTTTTGCGTTTGTCAGGTTAACTACATCGAGCTCCCTTCCCTTTAAAGCTATTACATTCGCCCTTTCGTTGCCGATTACTCCCGAGTGGCCTGGTACCCATATGATGTGAACCTTACCTCTGGGAGAGTATTCAGTTAAAGCTTTCTTACAATCCAATACGGTCTTAGATTTAATTCTATCACCTGATATCGCACAAATTGCCTTCTGGCTGTCGGTAAATATATTAAGCCATGTGGGCGCCATATTTATTCTAATCCAATTTACACATTCCGTTATTGCTCGTACTTCTGCCTGGAAGCTTGTGTTATGATTAGGTAAACGGTGGTATATTTCTGTTTCTGGGTCTTCTATATAGAAC